TAGTAGTCCCTATATCATCCCTAATAATGGATCCTTATAGTAGCCCCTATATAACCCCTAACAATGGATCCTTATGGTAGAAACCCTAAACCCCTAAACCCTAAACCCAAATAATAATCCCTATCATCCATTCCCCATTCCCTCCTAAGCGATGCACTGAAAAATGCTGCTGACAGCATCTGAAACTCCACCTATCTCCTCGGTAATAGCACGTCTTGGATTAGAGTCCTCCTTTAACTAGATAGAAGATGGGGCTTTATAGGGTTTATATTGGGATAATGGAAAAGAAAATGGAAACTACGATTTAGGGTTTAGGGTCCCCCTTAAGTAGATAGAATATCGGACATATGGGGATCTTGTTATAATATACCCAAAGCCATATTCTATCTACTTAATGAGGACTATAACATATGAACAAAAGTCCCCACAGCTGATGGCAGCCCAGCCATAACCTGAAAATCGATTGAAGAGTTTAGGGTGTTGGGATTTGGGAGGAAAATGCTGAAGAGACAGCAATGTCCAAGTTGCCTGGTAACGATATCCAACAGCTGTCGGCGTCCTCTTTGATGCCTTTGAAATTTGGGGCCAGCAAGTGCATCTTGTCAGCAGTTGATTTACGCTCATGAAGGTCTGACTGGGAGCTACCCATAGTTAATGAAATCCTTTGCTTCCCACATACACTTTCAATCATTCCTTCATGCCAGTTATTTCGCCAAACAAGAAAGAGAAGAACGAAACGAAAGACCATTACACGTTTGGTCATCCCGCTTACAATAGCAGTCCTCAAAAGCATGCCACTAAGTAGGTGGTCACAGCTACTGCGGGTGATGAACCCACATGATGGACATGCCCCTCCGCAACCTGGCATGGAACCTCAAAGAGCCTTTATAAAGACTGGAGTCCCCTCAACCAGCTCTGTAGGGTTCTATGCTAGCCTGCCCCTTGTTCTGCTCTAAACCCTAAACCTCCCGTGTTCTGCTCTAAACCCTCAACCCAAGCAGAATCCAGGCACGGCCATGGTGGCTGATTTGAGGATTGCAGGCCACTGCAGGACGCTCCTCAACAGCTTCAAGGTCAGGGTTTACATTCCAGTGCCCAGAAGAAAGCGTAGGACATCTTAGGGTATCATCTGTTCCCTATATGCCCTGTCTCCAGATCACTATTCAGAGCGTCCCTCGCCACAAGGCCAACGAGTGAGAGTGTTCTGGTTCAAGGTTTAGGCTTTAAGGCGTGTTCAGATTGGCCCCATGCGTGTGTTCGTGCCAAAGCCATGGTGCCCATTTCCGAACTTTTCACACCACACGTTTGAGTCATTCTACAATCACATGAGGAGTATGAGAGCAAAAAATCATCGTTTTGCTCAGGCTTACGTACTACTCTTCCGGGGGCTCCGTCTCGAACGCATTACGTCCATGAAAACACTGCATGATCAGTGTAATTTAGAATAATTTCAAGTCCAAATTTAAGGCCACTTTAGTACATTTCCTTAATAAACCACCCCTAAACCCTAAACCCTAAACCACCATTTAGGGTGAGGTCGCATGACGCCAACCCAGTGAATCTTGAGTTCAGGTTCTCACATCCAAACGTGACCCGCCTCGCAACTCCTCAGTTTCAGGGTTTAGGGTTTAGGGCTCAGGATTTAGGGTTTAGGGTTTAGGATTTAGGGTTTAGGGCTCAGGGTATTTGTGCTCCCTACCCCCACTATGAAACATCCCCTCCCGATTCAAAAATCCTTCCCGATCATTTCCTGAAGTGTCATGAGTGTAGGGGGGGTCTCTGATAGCAGGGCCAGGTGATAAATGGTAGTTGCCATTACTTAGACTCAGGGGGCACCGAATATGGACCACAAAATTCTATTCTTCCTCATTCGCGGGACCCCACAGCCCCCTAAACCCCTTAATGGACCCAGTCATGGGCCTTCGCGTGTGAGGGCAGCTTCAGGCATTTGCAAAGGAACAGGCCCCGGGGTTTAGGGTTGTGGTTTACGATGGGAGCCTTGCAGGTGGTTAAAGGGTCATAGGAGAGAGAGAGAGGGAAAGAGAGAGAGAGAGAGAGAGATAGACAGAGAGAGATATATATATATATATATACACGTGGGGGTTTCCTAAAATCAAGGTACCTTTTTGGGGGTCCCAATAATGAGGATTATAATATTTTGGTGTCTATATGGGGGCTGCCCCTATTTCGGGAAACTACCATATAGGGTTTTAGGGTTTAAGCTGCTACGGGTTTAGGGTTTGGGGTTCAGGGTTGAGGGCTATGGAGGCAGGTTTGCTAAACAAATGTGTTTGCATATGTACACATTGATCTCGAGTTAACATTCTTGTAAACCCAGGTATAACGTATAAAAACTATCCACGAACCTCTAAGTATGCGTACGGACTTGAGGCAGAGTATCTGAACAGAGAGGCGTCTCACACATGGGGCTTGCATCTCTTTGCAAAGCTACTTAGAGTAGATAGTCCTTTACTGTCTGTCCTTGGGGGGTACTGCGGTTGGGATATTGCGATAACCTATACCGTCGTTCCTATAACATGACAGCATGTACATTTACACCTATAGAAAGAAATGAGCACGTGTTGCTCAATCAATCGTATTTCCAGCAGCTGGGAAATGATCTCTGTTGCCCACCGCCCCACCTACCAAAAAAAAATCATCCATGCCTTGAGCCGAAATTCAGACATGCGCAGAGAAGCGCAAAATGAACAAGTTCATGGCTGCGTAGTCTAGGGGCGCAGCCTTGATTTCTCTCCCCGCGAGACCCCTTGGACCTGTTTGTTCCCTGCAACACCAACTCTCTCTGCGCAAACCCCCACGAGCCTTACAAAGCTACGACGGCCCCCAAAGCACTATAGGTTTGATCCAACATCTTGGATAGCTGCAGATTTTAGGTTTACATAGGGTTTAGGGAAGATGCAAGGGTTCCGTTTGGCAAGCATCCGCAATTGTAAGGGTTTAGGGTTTGGGTCTTGCTGGTTGAGGGTATTGACTTGTAGCTGCGGATAGATTTGTAGACGTGCAGGACAAGGTGGTGCAAGATACCCAGTGTGCACTGTCTTTAGGTCAAACCACTGTGTAATTTCAACTTCGGGAGATCTCTATCTGGTGCGCTACAGTCGACTAGGGACTTCGGCTTATCGTTAAACCCTCAGCCCTCGAACCTCTGATCCCTAAACCCTAATTAACCTGTAAATCCCACTTGTTCCGTAACTGCTCCACGTGCGCTTCCATAAAGTGTAAGGGGCAGGGTTGCAGGTGGAAGGTAAAGGATCCAGGCCTTTGCGTAAAAAGAGACATTCAGTCCGGTTTTCGACGGGGAGAGAACCCATAATTGCGAGAACACCCGCCTCATGTCCATCTCATTTTCCATGTTCCGTTTGCTTCTCCATTATTGGTCCTAAATCGTGGCCCTAAACCCTAAACCCTAAATCGTAGGCCCTAGACCCGCTTTTAACCCCTTTATGGGACCATGCTGAGTTCGGCCCCTGTAAAGTCCATGTTTGGTGAGCACCCGTCCCAGCCGTAAATCCTGAGGCCTAAAACCGAAACCCTAAAACCTTCAGCCCTAAAACCCTACAGTCCCCCTTAAGTAGATAGAATATGGGGTCGATGGAGATCTTGCTATAATATACCCAAAGCCATATTCTATCTACTTAAAGGGGGACTATATCACCTAAACCCCCGAAGTAGGTAAAATAATGGCCCAAAACCCCTAAAAGTAGTCCAAAAGGCCATTCTTCTACATACTTTGGGGGTCCAGGCAGTACTCACTGAGCACCCAGCTGCGATCATGATGGGGTCTGATGCGAAGCTGGTCTTTTCAGACCTGGGCGGCTCCGGGTCGAAGGTTCAGGCTTCAGGGTTTAGGGGTTCAGGGGTTCAGGGGTTTAGGGTTTAGGGTTCAGGGGTTTAGGGTTTAGGGGTTCAGGGGTTCAGGGGTTTAGGGTTTAGGGTTCAAGGTTCAGGCTTCAGGGTTTAGAGTCTGGTGTGCGGGGGAACCGCGAGGAAGTATGCGCTGAAGTCTAAACTCCTCGTATCCCCCTGACTAACCTTATAGCACTCCCCGGTATAATCCCCTGCATAACCCGCCTGAAGTAGTTTAAACGTTTAAACTATAGCTTGTATTGTGGTTGAAGGCGTGTTTGACGCAAGCATGGTATACTCTGAAATGCAAAGCACAGCTGGGAGTTGCAGCCTACAGAACTCAGTCTTTGAGAGGCGCTCTTGCAACAGGCGTCGAAGTATTTGTGAGACTGGCATGGTCCCCATCTCGAAGAAAAAAGCCAGTAGTAACCTAAAGGGACGGGGCTTTGGGCTGGAGTGTAGGGCTCTTTAGGTTCGCGCTGTAACGGTCTTAGTTCTCTCCGACGAAAATGAGTACAATGACGTTATTTCTTAAAGTGCCTCTTGCCGTCGACCCCAGATAAACAACCCAAGTACAAACATAACATCGTGTGTAGTAAATTTTTGCAAAGCTGCAATAATTTATAGTTCCTCTTAACTGAAGATGGAATCGCCCAATATCATGATGAGATCCCTATATACCCCATTTCTATCCAATTAAGAGGCACTATAGTTGCAGCATAGGACACCACTTCAGGCTTTCTGCGCAACTATTCAGACCCAGCATCTCAGAGTATACCTAAAAAAGCAAAGAATCCCCATAGCTTAGGGGTGGAGGGAGACGCGAACATTACCCGCCTTCCCTTGAACTTTGGCAGAACAAGCGATTCCACCTGGTTGTTCAGATAAACACGATCTAAAACACAAAACCAGTGAATGTGACAGCCCGAATAAGCCTCACTTAGACTCCATGTAGCTCCTTCTGGTACACCAGGGTAGCAATTTCATGGCCCCCAGCCAGTAGTGCTGCAGGTACAGGTGAGACATATCGGGCGAAAATGAAACAAACGTTGTGCGTGTGTGTCTGCTGGCGGTACCGGGCCGTATCCGTGTGCAGCCCAAAGAGAGATGTAGCTAGCATGCTAGATTGCATCCTCATGGTGAACGACCAGATGACGCAAAATGTGACCGAAGCCAAAGCACATTTGCAGCAGGCCAAGCAACGAGACACTTTCCAGATTCTGGTTGAACTCGCGGCCAAATGTCAAGTTCTGCAGGTTAGCCGGCAACCTGACACCTTCCAGACTCTGGTTGAATTCGTCGCCAAATGTCAAGGTCTGCAGGTTGCCGGGCAACCTGACACCTTCCAGACTCTGGTTGAATTCGTCGCCAAATGTCAACGTCTGCAGGTTAGCTGGCAAAGTGANNCCTTCCAGACTCTGGTTGAACTGGTGGCCAAATGTCAAGCTCTGCAGTGTCACTGGCAAAGTGATACCTTCCAGACTCTGGTTGAATTTGTAGCCAAAAGTCAAGTTCTGCAGGTTAGCAGGCAACCTGACACTTTCCAGACTCTGGTTGAACGCCTCACCAAATGTCAAGGTCTGCAGGTTAGCTGGCAACGTGGCACTTCCTAGATTCTGGTTGAACTCGCGGCCAAATGTCAATGTCTGCAGTGTCCCTGGCAAAGTGACACCTTCCAGACTCTGGTTGAACTGGACGCCAAATATCAGGTTCTGCAGGTTAGTTGGCAACCTGGCTCCTTTCAGACTCTGGTTGAACTCGTAGCCAAATGTCAGGTTGTGCAGGTGAGCTGGCAACGTGACACCTTCCAGACTCTGGTTGAACTGATCGCCAAATGTCAAGCTCTGCAGTGTCACTGGCAAAATGACACCTTTCAGACTCTGGTTGAACTGATCGCCCAATGTCAATGTCTGCAGGTTAGCTGGCAACGTGACACTTTCCAGATAGAACTGATCGCCAAATGTCAAGATCTGCAAGTTAACTGGCAACCTCACACCTTCCAGACTCTGGTTGAATTCGTCGCCAAATGTCAAAGTCTGCAGGTTAGCTGGCAAAGTGA